TGAAAATCATTCAAAGTTTTCAAGTTATCTTTTCGAATCTGTAACTTTTGGGTAAATATTTTTTGAGGATATAGCTGATATACCAAATATGAAAAAGGAGACTCCTGTTGAATTTTTTCAGGAGTAATAACTGACCCATAATCATTTAAAACCTTTTGTAAATAAACAAATACAGTAAGCAATAATGATTCATCTTCATTTGCTAAGAGAATGTCATCCATATAATGTATCATATAAACAGAAGGATAACTTTGCCTAACACAAGAAAGAGCCAGCGCTACAAACTTTTGACATAGGGTAGGGCTATTTGCCATACCTTGAGGCAAAACTCTCCATTGGTGCCTTTGCATAGGTTCCTGGAAATTAATAGAAGAGACACTAAAAGCAAATCGTTTACAATCTGTAAGGGCTAGAGATATAGTATAAAAACAATACTTTAAATCAATAACTATTTTAAAAGTATTTCTAAGTATTGCAGAGGCAAGGGGAAGACCAAGTTGTAATGCTCCCATGATTTCCATAGTTTTATTAATCTTTCTTAAATCTTGCAATAATCTCCATTTACCAGATTTTTTCTTTATAACAAAAATAGGTGAATTCCAAGGAGAGACAGATGGTTCAATGTGGCCTTTATCTAATTGTTCCTGCACTAACTGTTGGCCAGCTGTGAATTTCTCACTAGTTAAGGGCCATTGGTCAACCCAAACAGGTTTTTCATCTTTCCAGACTATTGGATCTGCATGGGGTGCAGGCATGTCAATGACCCCTAGGGAAAATATCCCAGGCCTTGTTTAGGAGGATGACCTGATGGAGTCACAGGAAATTGAATTCCTTGACCTTCCTTTCCTAAACCAACATTAGGCAAAAATCCTTGATCAAACATTTGGTTAGAGACCTTTTGATTAGGACTATATAAATAAACTCCCATTTGTTGCATGACATCCCTTCCCCATAGATTAACCGGGAGGCCAGGAATAACATATGGTTGAAAAGTCCCACAATGTCCTTCTAAACCACTCCAATTTAATATATCAGTACTTTGTTTAGGATTTCTACTTTGACCAATGCCTTGTAATTGAGAGACAGTCTCCTGCAAAGGCCATGTAGAAGGCCACTGGTCAGCAGTTATAACGGAGACATCAGCACCAGTATCTAATAACCCAATAAAAGATTTTCCTTGAATTAACAGTTTTATCTCTGGCCTATTGGCTCAAATAGATTGTACCCAATAAACATCTGAGGACCCAAAGCCTTTATTCCCTCTAATGGCTTTTTTATATTTTCCTGAAGTAACTATCCTGGGTAAAAGAACCAATTGAGCTATACGTTGTCCAGGCTGAATAACAGAAATTTGAGAAGGAGAACAAACCATAATTTTAATTTCTCCAGTACAATCCTCATCGATAATTCCTGGGGAAATTATGAGTCCTTTCATGGTGGAGGAACTTCTACCCAACAAAAGACCTAGGGTACCC